GGAGGAAGACGGCATCCAACATGCCATCTTCTACGTTAGCAAGACCCTAAGGGAGGCCGAGCTCAGGTACTCCCCTGTGGAAAAAACGGTGTTGGCCATCGTTTGGACTGTCAAGAAGTTGGGCCACTACTTTGAGGCTCACCCAGTTCAGGTCCTCACTCATCAACCCCTCGGCGCCCTCATGAGGAGCCCCACCAGCTCCTCCCGCATGGTTAAATGGGCTATCTTCTTGAGCCAGTACAACATTGACATCCGTCCAAGGCCTGCCATCAAGGGCCAAGCCCTAGCGGACTTTGTGACGGAATGTACCGCAAGGACAGCCACGGACGGGGAGCCCTCGGCAACCTCGGACGATTGGTGGACCCTCTACACTGACGGCTCCTCCGCGACCAAAGCATGCGGGGGAGGGGTAGTCCTCATTACTCCCGAGGGCTTCAGGGCCTACTATGCAATCCGCTTCTCCTTCAAAGTCTCCTACAATGAGGCCGAATATGAAGCCCTCCTATGTGGCCTTCGGCTGGCTGCCAACATGAGGGCTCGGCAGATCCACTTCAAATGCGACTCCAAGTTGGTCGTTGGCCAAATCTCCGAAGAATATGAGGCCAAGGAAGGAAGAATGAAACAGTACAAGGAAGCGGCCAAGGAGTTGCTTAAGGTATTTGAGGCACACTCTCTCACCCAAATACCGAGGGCTCAGAACTCCGAGGCCGACATATTATCTAAACTCTCGGCAGACTCCCCCGAGCACATCTCCAAAATTGCCAAAATCGAGGAACTCAGCCTCTCAAGCATCCATGCAAGCCCCGTGATGAACATACAACAACGTCAGGAGGATTGGATCTCAGACATCACCGCCTTCATCTCCACAGGGCAGCTACCCGAGAATGAGACCCGCGCTAAACTGGCAAAACTGAGGGCTCCTAGCTACACCATCGAAGATGGGAGGCTCTACAAACGATCTTACAATGGCACGCTACTTCGGTGCCTTCATCCAGATGAAGCCGAGGTCGCAATGGAGGAAGTGCACAGTGGCACTTGCTCAGCTCACCAGGGACCCTTCTCCATGTCCCGAAGGCTCACTCTCCAGAGCTACTTCTGGCCAACCATGGCCAGGGATTGTGCTGACCTTGCCCGGAGGTGCACCGCATGTCAACATTTCCAGAGAGCCCCCGGCAGGCCAGCGGTCAACTATGCCCCCATCAGCACATCTGTCCCATTTTCTCGATGGGGGATAGACCTTGTGGGCCCTCTGCCGAGGGGTACCTCCAACAACAGATACATCATTGTGGCCGTCGACTATTTTACCAAGTGGGTGGAGGCTGAACCCCTCGCCAGCATCACAGAGGCGAAGTGCCGTCACTTCGTCCTCAAGAACATCCTCACAAGGTTTGGCGTCCCCCAGCAGATCATCTCCGACAATGGAACACAATTTGAGGCAGCCCCCTTCTGTGCCCTTCTGGAGGCATGGGGCATAAAACACACCTTCTCCTCCGTTGCCTACCCTCAAGGCAACGGGCAGGTAGAGAACGCCAACCGGACCTTGCTCGAAGGCCTCAAAAAGAAGCTGGAGGCCGAGGGTGGTGGCTGGGTGGAAGAACTTCACAACATCCTCTGGGCCTACCGCACTACCCCTCGGCGCGCTACAGGTGAAACACCCTTCTCCCTCTGCTACGGTTTTGAAGCCAAAGCTCCTACGGAAGTCACCCTTCCTACCCGAAGGGTGATCCAATATGACCCCGAGGTCAACGACAACAACATGGCCCTCGACCTGCACCTCATTTCAGAACGCCGGGAGCAGGCCTTCATCCGGGCAGAAAACTACCGAAGGCAGGTTAAAAGCTACATCGACGCCAAAGTTCGAACCCGGGAATTTCAAGTGGGGGACTATGTCCTCCGGAGGAGGGAAGCCAGCCAACCAACCGAGGGAGGAAAAATGGCACCAAAATTCGAAGGCCCCTACATCATAGCAGCCATCATCAAACCCGGGACTTACAAACTCAAACGCCCCAACGGGAAAGAGGTCCCTGGGCACTGGAATGTACACCATTTAGTTAAATTTTATCAATAATGTAAGAGCGGCCAAACCCCTCATAACTAGCGAATGTACTATCCAATGGCCCAAGGCCTTCAATTTCGAAGAATGAAGATACATTCAAGACATCAAGCCCTCATACTGACTACAGGCCCCAGGCCTCACCACAAGAAGAACCCCCTCCGGTACCCAGTGCCGAGGGCGGACACCATCAACACCTACAACAAACAGTAGAAACACCACGTGTTTTCAGTCAAGACCCCTCGGCACCCAGTGCCGAGGGCACACCTCCCTCATCAAATATCGAAACGAAGAAAAAACACCAAGTGTTTCAAAGAATACCCTTCGGCACCCAGTGCCAGGGATATGCTCTCCTAACAGCTTCCAAACATCTATTGGGAAACACCAAGTGTTTCATTTGAAGACCCCTCGGTACCAAGTACCGAGGGTAGACGCCTACAGAAGACCCTTCGGCACCCAGTGCCGAGGGTACACCTCCCTCATCAAATATCGAAACGAAGAAAAAACACCAAGTGTTTCAAAGAAGACCCCTCGGCACCCAGTGCCAGGGATATGCTCTCCTATCAGCTTCCAAACATCTATTAAGAAACACCAAGTGTTTCATTTGAAGACCCTTCGGTACCAAGTACCGAGGGTAGACGCCTACATCAACTACAACAAGAGAACACCAAGTGTTCCTACAGAAGACCCCTCGGTACCAAGTACCGGGGGCTACACATCGAAACTAACACCAAGTGTTGTTTCTAAAAGCCGTACCCCACGAGGACGCATATACTGAAGGCGCCACCATCGGTGCCGGCGGCACGTAGTGCCCCCGGCCATTTGCAGCTAGTGTGCAAATGAAAACCCTTCCTTGAAACGCTTTCCGCGTCACTACCCCCAGGGTGTGACAGGCATGAGAAATGCCCAGGATTCGACTTTCAAAAACGGAACGCTATCCGCGTCACTACCCCCAGGGTATTACAGGCATGAGAAATGCCCAGGATTCGACTTCCAAACCGAAACGCTCCCCGCGCCACCACCCCAAGGGTGTGGCAGGCCACAGACTATGTCTAGCGCCGAGGGGACGACTTTCAAAAATGAGGCGCTTTCCGCGCCATCCCCCAAGGGGAGGCAGGTTACGGACCACCATATCTTGTGCCCAGGAAACGTCCCTCGATCCCCTCGGCACTCGGAAGGTTAACCTGAGGGAGGAGAGCCATTGGTGTATTCTGATGGTCTCCTAATAGGCCCAGCCTTACCAAGAAACCAAGTTTCTTGATGCCTTCCCTTCACCACCAAAAAAAAAAAAAAAAAAAAAGAGGGAGTGAAGGGGAGTAGACTCAGCGAGAAATCAAAGAGTACACTCCAACAAAATCACAACATGCCGAGGGCTCCCCACGGGAACACCTCCGGCCATTGAAGACTCCTATTTCCCGAAGGATACTACTCAGGGAAATATCATCAGGAAACGGCTAAGTCCACTACCTGGTCACCTCCGGTCACAAAAACACCGAAGGCTCCAAGGTCCAATAAACGGTACTTCAAACGACCACCAAAGGCATCTGTTATGCACAAATACCGAGGGCCCTCTCCCCATGACAAGGGTCTAATTCTACAACTTTTAAAGTGTATGCCGAGGGCACACACTCCTCATTGGCTTTCTTCACAACAACAGGAGTCAACATCAATGTATGCTTAGAAAAAATTCTATGTCCTGAAAGAGCAGCCCCCGGGCACCTGAAGGCTACACAAGGAAGCAGCACTTGAAAAAATTCTAAGTCCTAAAGATTGGGCCCCCGGCCCAATCAATGTTACAGCCAAGGGAATGTGGTGGCCGAAGGCCATGCAATACAACAACACTTAAAAAAAATATTTTGTCCTAAATGAGTAGCCCCCGGGCATCTCGCAAAGTGATGTGGAATCAGAGGGCACCTATCACCCGAAGGCACCCCGGTCAACTACTCTTACATCAAGGAGGGATGCCATCACCCGAAGGCTCCCAAGGGAAAATTTACACTTAGAATATTTTCTAAGTCCTACATGTATTTCCCCCCCTGGTCAACTACTCTTACATCAAGGAGAGATGCCATCTACCGAAGGCTCCCAAGGGGGATTTTACACTTAGAATATTTTCTAAGTCCTACATGTTTTCCCCGGTCAACTACTCATACATCAAGAAGGGATGCCATCTCCCGGAGGCTCCCAAGGGAGACTTTACACTTAGAATATTTTCTAAGCCCTACATGCTTTCCCCCCCGGTCAGCTACTCATACATCATGGAGGTATGACACCTCCCGAAGGCTCTCGAGGGAAACTCTACAATTAGAAGATTTTCTAAGTCCTACATATTTCACCCTCATCTCAAGGGACCTAATTGCCGAAGGCTACCTATCAATCGAGGGCTACAGTTCACAAGGAATCAACACTCAAGAAAATCTTCTAAGTCCTAAAAGAATTAGCCCCCGGCCTATTCAATATTACAGGTGGGGCTCCACAGTAGCCGAAGGCTGCATGACATACTACACTTGCAAAAATCTCTAAGTCATGTGCATTGGGCCCTCGGTCCAACATTCACACATCAGGAATGGGCGCCGTATCCCGAAGGCTCTCAAGGGGGAATCTACACTTAGAGATTTTTCTAAGTCCTAGGAGGTGGGTTACTACAAACGCCCGAAGGCCTCATGCTGTGCTACACTTAGAAAAATTTTCTAAGTCCTAATTGCTGCTGAACCCTCGGTTGCATATCCAGCGGAGGGTGCCCAACTACCGAAGGCTCCCAAGGGCTAGCTACAATCAGATGGCATTCTAAGTCCTAAGACATACATTCAAAGGAACAAAACATACATTCAAAACAAAGACGAAGGCATACATTCAACAATGAACAGATCAGAAGGAAGCATATCATATACACCAAGCCCGAAGGCAATCATTCAATTACAACACAAAAATAGTCAATGTGATTATTACAGAGTGTGGCCAAAGCCGAGGGGCAACAAAAGTTTCATTACAAGGTTTTTTTTAAAAAAAAAAGATTTGACTAAGTAATAATCTTCTCGACGGCTTCAGCCTCGTTGTCGCCGGGGGCATCTTCCCCGACAGCCTTGAAGGAGACTTCTTCTCCGGCAGCATCACCCCCGATGGCTCCAACCCCGTCACCCCCCATCATCACAGAATCGTAGATTGTTGGCCGCTCTTCACCCGGGGGGAGGGGAACTCTGACATCTGGTTGCAACGGAGGGAGGCCATATACCGAGGGGTCAAATTGTTCGAGGGATACGCCGAAGTGCCTGGCGAGCCTCCGGTATATCAGGTGCTGGGTAAAGAACTCACCCCCCTGATAGTAGGCGTCGCCCCTATCGGTCAGCCAGTCAACCCCGGGGCCTTCAACCCAAGCATCCACCGAGGCTGCCACCACGGAGGCCACCCATTCCTTGTGGCCCTCGGCCCTCCAGCCCTCGGCAAGGAACTCAGCGACTGCCTCCCCTCGGGCCTCGGCCACAGCTCCCTCCTTGACGATCTGGGCTTCATCAGCGGCTTTCTTCGCCGCCTCGGCAGCAGCCCTCTCGGCCTCTGCCTTGCCTTCGGCTATACCATCAGCCTTGGCCTTCTCCGCCGCCGCCTTCGCCTCCCGAAAGGCCTCCTCCAGCTGGGCAGCATGCTTCACCGCCTCAGAGTTCTTACGGATCAGCCCCTCCACCTTCTTATCCTGGGCGGCCTCGTGAAGACGCCTTTCCTCGCGCCTCCGGGCCTGTTCCCCGAGGGCTATGCAGGCCTGCGAACAATTATCAAAGGAGTTAGATTGTTCCTCAGGAAAAAATAAGACTACACTGACAAGATAAGGAAAAAGGAAGCGGATACTTACAGTGAGCGAGGAGCGGAGGATCCTGTTCTCGAGGGCATCGTCATCGTAGGTCTCGAAGACTTCCCTGTCCATCTTCGAGGTGATGCCCCGCAGGAAGGCCTTCGGCTCGGCAGTGCCGTGCATCAACGAAGCGCCGGGGGCAAAGGAGAGCTGACGGATCTCCCGGGGTAATTCCTCCCGGGGGGATTCACCGGATCCTTCGGAGAGACCGAGGCTAGAGGCCCATCAACAGCGGGCATGTCATCAATAATTACGAGGGGGGCCGCCCCCCCGACAGCACCCACGGCGCCTTTCTGTTTCTTGGTGGGGGGCTCCACCCCCTTGTCGCCCCTCTTCTTCTTGGCGGCCGTCTCGGCCTTCGACCCCCCGGTCCCCACAGCAGCATGGGAGTCCCTGGCGGAAGGTTCTATGACCTTCGGGAAAAGCGCGTCGACTGGCTTCTGGCCCGAGGGCCCCTTCTCCTTGGACTGGGTCTTGCCCTTCCTCTTTGCGAACAGAGCGTTGGCATTCATCCTGCTACCTGCAAAGAAACAACAAGTTAAAATGTTAGCACCGAGGGGTTCAAAACATGACAACAAACATAACAAAAAATCTCTAAGTACGAAAAAGTAAAGCCCCCGGCCACTACCTCCTGCTCCCACGAAGGCTTTATCGTAGAGGGGATATTTCTCGTCGGTCTCCCCAATGAACCGATACCTCAGGAATCCGAGGGCATACAGGTCCTCCTCGAGGGTGCACTCCTTGATGGTTACGTTCTTTTCCCGACCCTCGGGGATCTTTGCAATCTTCAGGCCATCCTTCTCGAGGGCGGCACTCTTGGCCTTCACATGGCGCCGAAAGCGATTCCGCAACTCCCTCGGGAACGGGCTGTCGGCCAGTCTGATGTAGCACCATCGCTCTCTCCACCCCTTGTTGGAAGAAGGGGCCTCAGTGAACAGCTTGAACTGAGCTATCTGCTGTAAGTTCGCATAGCCCTCGGCATTTGTATGTCCCCCCGGCATAGGTTGAAGCTTTGGAAGAATAACTCCAGGCTCGGTGTAACCTTCCGGAGTTTGCACAGGTTCACAAACCCCGTTATGTACGAGTGGCTGTTGGGAGTCAGTTGGCAGGGGGCCAGGCCGGTGTACCTCAGGTACTCCCGGAGGAACGGATGGAGAGGGAACCGGAGGCCCATTGAGACCGAAAGCACGTGCACGGCTATACATCCCTCGGGGGGCCGCGACAGCACGTCATCGGGACCTGGCTCGACTACCACGGCCGAGGGCCCTACATGCAATTGGGTGATATAGATGTCCGCCCTGTCAGCTTGGGACTTGATCTCCAGAGCGGCGGTGTCCAGGAAGGAGTAACCCTCCGGTAGATCAACTGGCCCCCCCGATCGACGGTCTTTGCTTTCTTCTGAGGGGCGGCCTTCGTCTTTCTCTTCTTCATCCCGGGGGCCACCCGGAGGGGAACTGCGTTCAGCGGCCGGGAGGTACTGGCCTCACCAGCACCCCGAGGGGGAAGGACGGCCACAGTGACCTTCGCCCTCTCCTTCTCCTCCTCCTCTTCAGCTACTTGGACGGTGAGGGCCAACTCTTCATCCTCGGCAGTTCGCTCGAATTCCTCCGCCTCGGCCTCAGCCGTCAGATCTTTCTGCACCTCAGTGGCGAGGGCTGCATCACCACGGTCCGAGGGCTGACCACTGCTTGACTCCACATCGGAGATGCCTTCGTCCTCCATCGAGGGCGTCCTCGAGATGTCCTGAGAGTCACTCTGGGACGACATTCGCACCCTTGTTCGAGGGCTCGTAGAGGGTAGTGTTTCCTAACTTTTCTATCTCCTAAACTAAGGGCACAGTACAGCTATGCTAGAAGGAGAAAGGCAGGGAACACTGACCTCGAAAGCTGAGTTTTGGGCCGAAGGCTGAACTTTCTCTCTCTAGAAAAATTGACAGAGCTTCGCTAACAAGTTTATCGCACACGGAGGAATGCTTGGCCTTGGGGTATTTATAGACCCCAGAGTCCGGGCTTGGGCCCGAAAACCGGGCCTCCGGGTGGATGCCATCATTACACACCGCATCTTCACCCAACCCGTGATGCCGCCCGCGAACAGCCAGCCATCACACGCCACATGTGCCATTCCCCCAACGGCTATATCCTGTCGTTACGTATTCCAACGGCTATATTTCCAACGGCTATATTCTGGAAGCCCTCGGGTTTTCTACTTCACTCCACTTCATCAAGGATTGCCTCCGGGTGCACTCACCCAGAAGTGCCCTCGGGTTGTGCCCCACACAGCGCATTACACACGCCTTCGGGATCACTACTTCAGATCCCTAGGGCTGCATATCAGGGCACCCCTCGGGGTTTCCCCCTCAGCATTGCAAAACCGGGTAGCCCCCGGGGAGTGCCTCATTGACGGATGGCCTATGGCCCTCGGGTATCTTCATCACCACCTCATCAACAAACAGTGGACCCCCCGGTAACAGCTTCACTGCTGCCCTCATCTGACAGGCCCTCGATCCCTGGATTGAGGGACTCCCCCTCGGCGCCACCAGGACATCAACAGCAAGCCTTCGGCTAATCAACACAGGAACCCTCAGAAGAGAGAACCTACGGCATTCCCGCCACTTTCCGTTTTTTACCAAGGTTTGACATTTTCGATTCATCATTGGGGGAATTCGGTGCACTCTTTTTCCCTCATTAGGATTTTTTCCCAAAGGGTTTTTCCTAATAAGGTTTTTAACGAGGCATCCCCCCAAAATGAAACGAAAAGCGTCAGCCTTCGGCCCACAACAGCAACGTAACTACTTTACTCCTTTTCACCACTTTACAAGTGCCTCAAGGAGTGGGGGACTGGAGGACCCCTTCGGGAAAATCATTAAATTACAAAATCTGTGAAATTCCAACAAACAACAAAGCAAGCCCTCAAGTCCCGACATGTGGGTAACTGAGGGACTGCCTTCGGCAGGGACATAAAAGCAACAACTCCTCACCAACTTCAGGGATCACGACAGGACAACATCAAAAGGCAAGCACAAATTACTCCTTTTCCCTCAAGTACCTTTCGGCAAAAGGAGTGAGGGACTCCTGATGGAGTATATGGCCCGGGAACCCCCGGCCCACAGACTCCTACTACTCCAAGCAAAGGCCCAACAAGCCCAAACCACAGCGCCCAGAGTACCAAGCAGCCCGCACTACACGCCAGGGGTGCCTTCGGCCCCCTGGCCGAAGGCTCCAAATTCTCACAGAACGGTTTTTTCAAGCAAACTAAGAAACTGGGAGAAAACGGCGAAAACAGCAGCCCTCGGCACTGTGAGCCCTCGGCACCAGGGGTGCCATCGGGAGGAAGAGCCTTCGGCTACTGCTCTATGGCCGAAGGCATCTCACTCGACAAGATATCCGCCTCACATGCGTACAGATCACCGTACTCTGCACAGACGTCCCATCCAACAGCCGCATTAAATGCGGCCACATGCGGCTGCCAGCGCCAACCAGTTGAGGTGACCCCTCGGCCAATGAGCGCTTGACACGTGTCCCTGCCCGGCATTTATTGCTACTATAAATAGCACCCCATTTCCTCATTTGTAACCACGCTGAAAACGCTCCACATTTATAATACACTCTCTCTATATATATTTACTTGCTCTGACTTCTCTCTAAGTTATTCCCCGTAATAACCCTTCGGATATATACCCCCGGGTAGACTATCCATCAGTGTTATAACTTTTTCTTTTTTAATCTAATTTTTACAAACTATATATCAAAATTCATATTTTTTGTGATCTTTCATATGAGATCAATATTGAATATATAAAGAAATAATTGTTTAAGGTCTCTATAATTATGTTTACAATTATATATATTTACATATAAGAAAGGATTAGGCTATTAAAATACCATTTTGCCCAGTTATTATGTAACGTGTCTATCTACCAGATTAGATAGCATTGCTCTATTTATGCCACGCAGCTTCACCTTTTCTGCAGAACTTCGTAAATTTCTACGGAATTAGCCAATTCAACCGATTTCAGTGTTACCAAAAGGGCTCATAGTCTTACTTTTAATCAAAATATAACGTTATACTCTCATTATCAAAGTATTATAAACCACATTCCTTCCTATTATAAGGTCACTCGAAATTGAAAAATTAGCAAATGAAAATGATAACCACATCGGGTGCTCAAATGCTAATAAATAAAACTTTTAAATTTAAATCAATTTAATTCATATGTGTCAATTTCTCCAAAGCAATGAAGGCTTGAGGAGAAATATAATCGGCGGGGTCCACCCTATAAAAATAGATTTTCAAGCAAGGGATAATGGATAAAAATATGTTTTATTGACATTTGGTGACTATTATAAATAAAAACTAGCCCTTATATAAGATATAAAAATGCTTATATGCTCATTTTTCATTTAAAATTATGTGATGTTTGGTGACCCTATTTTGGATTTATCAACCTTATTAGTGATTTTTTCATCAAATACTTAAATTTTTAATTTGTGCGCTGAATAGTATAATGATCAAAATAAGAAAGATAGAAGTTCATTTACTTCCTGAATTGAATGAATTTATTATAAACGAAAATTTTAGCTACTTTTTCAGATAAATGTTTATTTATTTTTTAAATAAGATATATTCTAAATTAATTTTTCCACAATTCACTATATGCAGCCAGTTGAACGGTTTCAACAAAAACTTCATCAATTTCAATAGATTCAGCCATTTTATGTGTTACCAAACACACTCTAAATAACACTCTAAATGAAAAAAAATCAATGTATGATAGTATTGTTAATGTAAAATAGATCAATTGTTTTAAAATATCAAATAGATGAAGTTGTTCAAATTTCATAAGCATTTGATATAAAAAGTAAATGATTAAGAATAATTTGTGTTGACCAAGTCAATATGAACATGAACTAGGACCATCAATTTGGGACGGATGTAGTATATATCTATTCTATTTATATATAAGAAAAGAAATAGCTTCTATTAGAAGTCTACTCTAAATATGTTCCTTCCTTAAATAGATTATGGGTGAATCATTACACATACATTATTCTAAAAAAATCACATAATAAAATGTCGCATCTATTTATATATAAGAAAGGAAATATCTCCTTAAAAGACAAATTTTCCCTCTTTAAAGCTTATGTGCTCTTCTCCTTACAATTCTCTCCTTTACTCTACATATGCCACGTAGCAACCTCAAGGACTTTATATGGAACATAATTGATGCTAAGCATTTGTAAAATAAGGTAGCATCAATTCATCGGACCCACTGTATTTTAAAAAATTCCATTTTCTTCAAAGTGATATAACTTTTTCATTTTTTCTCTATTTTTTATAAAAAATATATCCAAATTTATAATTTTTTACGATCTTTCATATGACACTAATATTGAATATGAAAAATTAAAAAAAAAAACTGAAAATTTATTAGACAGTCTTTCTATTTTCCGAACTCAATACAGAGCATTCCTTATTAAATAAATATAAATTCCTAATATATAACAAAAAGAAAATAATGGATAAAAATATGACTTATTAATTTTTAGTGCCTAACAATTGAGCAAGATAACTTTCTCTCTCTTATGTAGTTCTTTTAAGTATAAAATTAGTGCTTTTAGTGCTTTTTAGTATAAGGTAAGATAAACCATCTAACAATTGAGCGGGAGAATTTTCTCTCATATGTAGTGCTTCTAGATATAATATTTTAAATATAAAAATAAGCCATAAGCCATCTAACAATTGAGTGCAATATTTATCTCTCCCTCCCCCCCCCCCCCCCCTCTCTCTCATAAGTAGTGTTTTTATACATAAGATAATCCAACTAACAATTGAGAGATGTCTATAGATAGTGCGTTTAGGTATAAGACAAGTCTGCTAACAATTGAGCGGGAGATTTTTTTAATTATATGTAGTGTTTTTAGATATAAGATTTTAGATATATATATAAGAAAGATTAAACCATAAGTCGTCTAATAATTGAGTGAGAGATGTCTATCTCTCATAAGTAGTACTTTTAAGTATAAGATAATCTAGCTAACAATTGAGAGAGGATTTTCTCTATCATATATAATTCTTTTAGGTATAAGATAAGCTGACTAACGATTGAGCGGGAGAATTTTCTCTATCATATGTAATACTTTTAGCTATTTGAAAATAAACTTGCTAACAATTGAGTGGAACCATTTCTCTCTCTCATATAGGATGTTTTTACTTGGACTGTAATTTGCTGGTCTGGTCTGGTCTGGTCTGATCTGGTCTGGTTTGGTCTGGTCTGGTCTGAACTGGTCTGGTCTGGTTTGGTCTGGTTTGGTTTCTTTGTATTTTTATAACTATCCAAGTCTGGTCTGGTCTGAACTGGTCTGGTCTGGTCTGGTCTGGTCTGGGACGAATTACAGTCCAAGTAAAAACATCCATAGTTCTTTTAAGTATTAGATAAACTGACTAACAATTGAACAAGAGATGTCTCTCTAATATGTAAGAGTTTTAGGCATAAGAAAATAAATTTGCTAATAGTTGAACGGGAGAATTTTCTCTCCCATGTAGTGATTTTACATATTAGAAGATATGCTACTAACAATTGAGCGAGCGAATTTTCTCTCTCATAAATTTCTACGGAATTAGCTAATTATTGAGCAGAAG